TAAAGGTTTATATGAAGAAATTGATAAAGAAATGCGAAAAATTAATGTTTAATTAGCACCTAAACATGAAAAATTGCAATCTAGATTAAAAGCGAAACAATTGGGGGAATAAAAACTAAACAGGCAAAGGAATAAACACGAAATATAGTTTTTAAAATTCCATGCACTTGCAGTGATACTAATGTTTATACAGGTGAAACAAAGAGTAAATTAAATATTAGGTTAATTAATTAAAGGAACATATTGCTGACTTGAAATACCACAGATTGAATTTTGTTTTTCACGAACACTGTTTATTGAACGATTGTAATATAGATAAGACTAATACTGAAATTTTACATAAGGAAAAAACACTTATACTAGAAAATTTAAGGAAAGTCTTGAAATTTTGAAAGACAAAAATTGTATAAATAAAAATTTAAGTGTAAAGTTAAATGAAAACTGATTAAATATCTTACAAAAATATTTTTTTTTGTTCCATCTTGGTTATTTGAAATGGTTGTTGTAATCAGCTACTGTATGTTGTAAAGTAATGCAAATTTGTGTTGTGTTAAACCGCATTGCGGTAGTTGAAATAGTAGCCAAATAAAGCGGAGAAAAATGTTATTTCTGCAGGATATGTAAACATAATTTGTAAGTTAGAAGGAGATTAAAGTCTACTTGTTCGTGCTCCTTTAACTTGTGTCAATGCGAAAGCAACATTCATGGTTGGAGGTGTATATTGTAATTTGGAACTTGCTTCTCAGGTAATGTACAATATCATTAATATATTTGTGGATATAGATGGTGTACTTATGTATTAATTACTTGTCTCTAAACTAGATGTATGTAAATTTTATATCGTTGGTGAAACTTCCTTTCATTTTATTGAAAAGTGTGCCGTAGTGTATTTTAAATCTCATCGATAAAAGTAGTGTAACAGTAACACTTAAAATAAGTTTCATTGATATAAAGATTATAATGTGAAATTTAATTTAAAAAAATGTAAAAATATTCATTTGGGCAGATATATAAAAGAAATGCCGTTTTCTGTAAGTGTAAGCCTTCAAGCCTGTAGGAAATCTAATAGTATGTTTTCTCCTTGCCAATAACGACTAAATAGGAGGCCAGTTCCCCATAAAAGTCCTCCCGGAAGGCATTCTTTCCCGGCTCGTCGGTCGCATAGCGATCAATCGGAGAAAAAGCGTAAATAGAGTTATACTCTCCATATAAACATAGAAGACGAAGAAAAAGAGACAAACAGAGATATTTTGTTTTATTAATTTATTTTGGAGTAGGCAATTGTTCTGGGAAGAAACGGAAGAAAAGTTCTCGGCAATTCAAAGGTAAATCTTTATAATCGGTCCGTCGGGCGCTGTTTTAATCATTGTTTAAAAGACAATGGAACAAGTTGGTTGTTGTGTAATGGTGAGAATTCTTCGATACGCCTACAGAAATATTTCCAAAAATTTATAAAAATCCATAACTGGTTTAAATGCGGAGTGTTTTCTTAACTGAATTCTTACATCTCCAGAACGGAGTTAGATGAAAGACAACAGCAGATATGGAATCCTCAGAGGCAGCGGGATGTCCCAATTACCTGTACATGAAATTCCGCTGCAAACCGGAAGTCAGGCTGTTTCGATTCAAAAGTATTGTTAAAAGAAAAGAATGATGTATGGGGGCAAGACACTACTAATTGCAGGTGAATAGCATATATTTTAAATGAAGTAAATTATCAATATGATTAAAAACTGCAGCCCGGCATTGTGACCGTGTCAAATTAAATCACATTATTACTAATTTTAAATATAGTTTAAAAGTATTCATCCCTTTTCAGTAATAATTGAATGAAAAATTATGTTTCGAATTTCAATTGTACATGTATTTTCATTTTTAATTATTGAATAGATTTTAACTTGTTTTCTGATAAGTCAAATTTTTTAGGAAAAAAATCGAAAGAATCGTGTCTATTTCTTTTTCTGCCGTCGTCTTCGGTTCTGTCCGAACTGAAAAGAGGAGAATGCGAAAAATTAATGTTTAATTAGCACCTAAACATGAAAAATTGCAATCTAGATTAAAAGCGAAACAATTGGGGGAATAAAAACTAAATAGGCAAAGGAATAAACACGAAATATAGTTTTTAAAATTCCATGCACTTGCAGTGATACTAATGTTTATACAGGTGAAACAAAGAGTAAATTAAATATTAGGTTAATTAATTAAAGGAACATATTGCTGACTTGAAATACCACAGATTGAATTTTGTTTTTCACGGACACTGTTTATTGAACGATTGTAATATAGATAAGACTAATACTGAAATTTTACATAAGGAAAAAACACTTATACTAGAAAATTTAAGGAAAGTTTTGAAATTTTGATTGACAAAAATTGTATAAATAAAAGTTTGAGTGTAAAGTTAAATGAAAACTAATTAAATATCTTATAAAAGTTTTTTTGGCTCTATCTTGGTTATTTGAAATGGCTGTTGTAATCGGCTACTGTATGTTGTAAATTTATGCAAATTTGTGTTGTGTCGAACCGCATTGCGGCAGTTGAAATAGTAGCGAAATAAAATATCATATGTAAAGCGGAGAAAAATGTTATTTCTGTAGGGTATGTAAACATAATTTATGAAGTAGAACTAGATTAAAGTCTACCTGTTCGTGCTGCTTTAAGTCATGTCTATGCGTAAGCAACATTCACGGTTGAGGTGTATATTGTAATTTGGAACTTGCTTCTCAGGTAATGTACCTTTAATATATTTGTGGATATAGATGGTGTACTTATGTATTAATTACTTGTCTCTAAACTAGATGTATGTAAATTTTATATCGTTGGTGAAACTTCCTTTGATTTTATTGAAGAGAAAAGTGTGCCGTAGTATGTTCTAAATCTCATCGATAAAAGTAGTGTAACAGTAACACTTAAAGTAAGTTTTATAGATATAAAGATTATAATGTGAAATTTAATTAAAAAAAGTGTAAAAATATTTATTTGGGCAGATACAGAAAACGGCATTTCTTTTATATAAGAGTAAGCTTTCAAGCCTGTAGGAAATCTAATAGTATGTTTTCTCCTTGCCAATAACGACTAAATAGGAGGCCAGTTCCCCATAAAAGCCCTCCCGGAAGGCATTCTTTCCCGGCTCGTCGGTCGCATAGCGATCAATCGGAGAAAGAGCGTAAATAGAGTTATACTCTCCATATAAACGAAGAAAAAGAGACAAAGAGAGATATTTTGTTTTATTAATTTATTTTGGAGTAGGCAATTGTTCCGAGGAGAAACGGAAGAAAAGTTCTCGGCAATTCAAATGTAAATCTTTATAATCGGTCCGTCGGGCGCTGTTTTAATCATTGTTTAAAATACAATGGAACAAGTTGGTTGTTGTGTAATGGTGTGAATTCTTCGATACGCCTACAGAAATATTTCTAAAAATTTATAAAAATCCATAACGGGTTTAAATGCGGAGTGTTTTATTAACTGAATTCTTACATCTCCAGAATGGAGTTAGATGAAAGACGAGAGCAGATATGGAATCCTCAGAGGCAGCAGGATGTCTCAATTACCTGTACATGAAATTCCGCTGCAAACCGGAAGTCAGGCTATTTCGATTCAAAAGTATTGTTAAAAGAATGATGTACGGGGGCAAGACACTACTAATTGCAGGTGAATAGCATATATTTTAAATGAAGTAAATTATCAATATGATTAAAAACTGCAGCTCGGCATTGTGACCGTGTCATAATAAATCACCCCTCATTATTACTAATTTTAAATATAGTTTAAAAGTATTCATCCCTTTTCAATAATACAGTAGAACCTCGATTATCCGGACTAATTGGGGATGAAAGTANAAACGCTTAGTGAACGTATAAGTCACCAGGTCGAGAAAGTTAACCAGCGGCACTATATATAGCATTAAAAAATATTCCTTTATAGTAAATTTTTAATAAAATATTATTTCTGGTAAATTCTCTTGGAGTAAAATGTGATTGGAAATTTGACGCTTTATTTTACGATAAAAAATATCGGCAAAAATGAAGTTTCTTACATCTTGAATTACAGACGGCGCCGCTGGATTTATTCAAATATGAAAAATGTTCCGTTACAACGTAATCGTAAAATGACGTTTGAGTTATAACGAGAGATATTTTGTGTTATTAATTTATTTTGGATTAGGCAATTGTTTCGAGGATTAATGGAAGAAAAGTTCTCGGCTATTCAAAGGTAAAACTTTATGATCGGTCCGTCGGGCGCTGTTTTAATTATTGTTTAAAAGACAATGGAACAAGTTGGTTGTTGCGCAATTGTGATAATTCTTCGATACGCCTACAGAAATATTTCCAAAAATTTATAAAAATCCATAACGGGTTTAAATGCGGAGTGTTTTCTTAACTGAATTCTTACATCTCCAGAACGGAGTTAGATGAAAGACGACAGCATATATGGAATCCTCAGAGGCAGCGGATGCTCCGATTACCTGTACATGAAATTCCGCTGCAAACCGGAAGTCAGGCTATTTCGATTCAAAAGTATTGTTAAAAGAATGATGTGCGGGGGCAAGACACTACTAATTGCAGGTGAAGAGCATATATTTTAAATGAAGTAAATTATCAATATGATTAAAAACTGCAGCCCGGCATTGTGACTGTGTCATAGTAAATCACTCCTCATTATTACTAATTTTAAATATAGTTTAAAAGTATTCATCCCTTTTCAATAATACAGTAGAACCTCGATTATCCGGACTAATTGGGGATGAAGGTAGTCCGGATAAGGAAAAATCCGGATAATCGAAATAGATACTTTAATTTGTCTTTTAATGATAATACAACACGTTTTCTTTTCGATGACATATTGGTAATATTAAAAGTAAATACTGTATTTAAATCGTGATCAAATTTTCAAGAAACAAACGTTCGTATTGAATTTGGACTACTACTGACCAACGCTAACAGACTACCTATTGTTTAAAAGGCCCTCTGGTGGCGCAAGAAGACGGATTTTATAAAATAAAAAGCNTCGAGGATAATTTTATTTTACACACTGTTGATACCTCACAATTCTTCGCGTATGTGAAGACAGAGTGATAATTCTGTTGTACTTTCTTATGAATGACACAGTGAACGGAAGCTTATGGAATTCTCATGCAGAAACGGGTCAGTTCTTTTTATCATTCCTTTGATAGTCGTCACTTTATTTTCACATTCAAGAAATTAAATTAATTATTTATAGTGCTGATCTGAAGAAAATCTCGTTGACGATTACGTTAGAAAGAAAGATTTCCAAAGTAACTGAAGATGATTTCTCAGGTAACTTTCTTGTTATATCGAATGGTCCTAGAGATTGGTTTGTGGAGTGTGCTTACAATTATTGAAAGTGCTTTACGTTTGCTTGTTGAATGAAGTTTTTTGACTTAATGTAGACAAACGTAAGTAAATCTTTCATTTTTTCACGCATTGTTAAAACCATAATTTTTAAGAAATGGTTGTTTTTTTTTAAATTTTAAATTCTTCAATCAAAGCTGTAAAATATGAAAATAAAAGGAAAGGATCTTCGTAAAATACAGTATTATCTGATCTACTTCTTTCTAAACATAGCTGATAAATCTATTTTAAATATCGTATTACTAATTAATTAATGCATTTCACACATATACTTATTCCTGTTCAAGAAAATTAACTTAACTTAAAAACGTTTATTTTTCAGATCTCGAACCCAGCTTTAATTTTGTGGCGTGTCCAAGAAAGAATTTCTAAAATTATTTAATTTGATTTATAAAATAACGTATGACGTCATTCTCGTATCTGATTTCATTCAAAACTTTATTTTTAGATTCACTACCAATTAATAAACAGAAGAGTAACAAACGAAGAATTGTTTCCAGGAAAAAGGATGAGTCGAGGAATGCGTTTAACTTCTGTTTACAGAAGACTAAATTGAAGACAGTGATAAGAAATTATATTAGAATATGAAGAAAGGAAGAATATATGTCAAGCAAATGAAGAGAAAAAGAAAATGAAATGAAGATATCTTAAATAATTTTCAAATACATTATTTGTTAAAATACACTTTATATAAATTGTTTGAGATAAATGTATAAATTACATTTATTTGTGATAGTATGTTTATACTGCTTGAAAATATTCGCAAATACTGGTGTAAGCATTTTATGTATGGACCACATCACACAATAAATCAGTTAGTTGTAAGGTTTAAACTTTAGTGTAAAGAAACTTGTTAAAGGAAAAATTATTTTTTCTATCTGCACACACAAGTTTAACAATCCCTTAAAAATAGCGCGCCTGAATTTAGATATTTACATATTTGATTAGCAATAAATTGAAGGGAGTTTTGGTTTTAATGCTCTAATCGTATTTTACAGGTTTAAAAAAGAATAAGAAGTCAAGAAAAAGGAAGTCAAGAAAGAGGAAGTATCGATGTGGCAGTTGCGAGAAAGAATATATTTCGAAAAATGGGTTAAAATATCATCGAAGGATTCACACTGGAGAAGGGCTCTTGTCTTGCCAATACTGTAATCGTCAGTTTATCCATTCCAGCATTCTACGGGAACACGTCAAGATTCACACCGGAGAGAAACCCTTTGTCTGTGGTTATTGCAAACGAAGTTTTTCCCGCAGAGAACATCTGATAGGACATCTTCGTCTTCACACCGGAGAGAAACCATTCTCGTGTAATCATTGCTCACGAAAATTTCGCTTTAAATGTAATTTAAAGTATCATATTATTAAACATCATAATAGTAATGAATAATGTCTTTTTATGGAAAAAATCGTGAAGAACAAGAATCTATTTTAGTACATTTCTTCGAAAAATATGTAAAAGATGGTTTTTAGAATAAATATAATTTCATTGATTAAAAAGTAACAGGCATTTTAGTTGTTTAAGTACATGTCATTTATTTAGGGCAGGGGTCGCCATAGTGGTCGATATCGGCTAAGGGGTGACATTTTTTTTTTTTTTTGCTTATACAGAGACCACGACGTTCTTTTTTTTTTCTTGTTTTTACTCATACACATATACTTGTAATAAAACTTTACGGTAGAGGTCAATGTGAGGCTTTGGAAAGTGGTTGGGGTTCGATGGTTAAAAAAGTTTGGCGACCCCTGATCTACATAAAACCTAAAATCAATAATACCACAGACTCCTCACTATACAGACCATGTCTTCAGCACTCTACAAGTTATTGACATCCTGTATAGCAAACAAAATATACAAACATGTTGAAGAACACAACATTCTTACAAAACAACAAAAAGGTTGCCGTAGAAATCACGTGAGATGCAAAGAACAGTTACTTATAGATTCAATCATTCTACGACAAACACAGATAATACACATGTATAGACTACAGAAAAGCATTCAGCAGCGTTCCACACGGCTGCTACATACTCTACACATATACAAAATACATCCATCACTCATTGCATTCGTCCAAAACATTATGCAGCACTGGAGAACAACACTACATCTCAGGGTTAGTAACACTTTCATACAAACAATCCAAATATTTATTAGGCGAGAAATTTTTCAAGGAGATTCCTTGAGTCCTCTGGTTCTGCTTAGCCCTGAACCTATTATCCAACACGTTAAACCAGGGCTGTGGAGTCGCGTAAAAATCTACCGACTCCGACTCCGATTAGGGGCAGACTTGTTACCGAAAGAGACCCGGAAATTCTGATGTCATCACGTGACCTCAGAATAAAATATTCAATAAATAGAGTTGTAATAAAGATAGAGCGTAGAAACTTTTTATTCCAAAGCTAAAAGACTTCTCTAAGTAATATATAAATATTTATTCGATAGTTTTTACTTTTCCGGCTGTTATAGGCCTGTATAACAGAGGAAAAGTGTAGCGCTCGGTCAAAAAATGACCCCTCCCAAATTTTTACATTTTTGGACTCGGGACACCTTGAAATTTCGAGATATGCAAAAGATTCGAGGTTTTTTCTATATGTGTGGATGTTAGACTGTGTGTGGGGGGCATGATTTTGTTCACCCTGTTTGAAGCCTAATAATTTCTGTGGTCAGAGTGGTCAGAATCGGAGTCAGATGGTTTAACACAGGAGTTAGTTATTAAGCGTCAAAGTGGTTGAACTAAATCATGTCCCCATATACATTCTAACATCTTAGGCGAGAACATCTTAACGGGTTTTACTGTACTATTATAAAATGGCAAAAAAGCTTACTTTGAGGGTAAAGACGAGTTTTATTTTATTTTTTTAATTTTGAACGCTAATAACGAGTAAAATATTCATTAAGAGATATGACACATGACCACTTTTAGGTCTTCACCCTGTCGACCTTTAATTAAGAACCAAAATTTAATATTATTAATGCCCCTTTATACGCAAGCTACAGTGCCACATTTCATTTCTTAAACTTTAACCGTTCTGAGATATTAAACAATATCTCAGAACAGAAAATAAACAAATTAGACGCCAACATGCGCGCGCGAATTTTCCCCCTTTATTGACTTTTTTGAGGGGTTTGGGAGGTTTCCAAACGTGTAGATTTGCAAAAGAAAAAAACTTGGAGGATCAAATTTGACACGATTCCGATACTTTTCCGTTTTATATATATAACAAGTTGGTAAGTAAAAAGGAGTCGGAGTCGGCGGATTTTTTGACGACTTCGACTCCGGCTAAAACATCAAAACTCCACGACTCCACAGCCCTGCATTAAATAACACCCAAGCGGTTACAATACCAGACATGAAAAAACACCACAGTTTACACTGTCACATCTTATGTATGTGGACGACATAAAACTATGCATCCACACAAAAACAACTTCAACAACTCCTACAAATCACACATTCATACACCAAAGACATACAAATGGAGTTTGGCCTAGACAAACGCAAAACACTTCATACAGAAAAAGGAGTCTTGAAGAAAAGATTTTGCACTTGGAAATGGATAAGTTAGTGAATCCATGGAAGAGGGTGAATCATACAAGTGTTTAGGATTTTAACAGGCCAAACTAACAGAACATACACAAATAAAGCAAAGTTTAATTAAAGAATACCAAAGTTGGTTAAACGCTGTTCTCAGAACACAGTTAAATTCAAAACACACACTTAAAGCAATATACACATACGTCGTCCCTGTACAGTCGATCCCCCTATAATACGGGTTCCTAAAGTTTGGATTCCTATATGACGGCGAAAAAATTGCTTCGGTATCCATACAAACATGGTAAAAAACTCCTATTTCATCATGGGCACCGGGGTCACGGTACCTTCGTTCTAGGATTCTCTGGGCGTCCTAGCTGTCAGCTTCACTCAGAACACCCATTGTAACCTGGCCGAACTGGCTATTTGGGGATTCCAGTATAGTTACCACTCCCACTGGGTCCTGGCCATGTTGGCCATTGGGGGACTCTTGTGTTGTGTTGTATACCCCTGTATTATGGCCGAGTTGGCCATCTGGGGTTCTTTGCATTGTTGCTCCCCGTTGTAACCTGGGCGAGTTGGCTGTCAGGGGACTTTTCGTGTTTATTATTATTATTATTTATTTATTTATTTATTTATTTATTATTTATTTATTTATTTTTATTTTTTTTCTTTCGTGTGTAACTTTGTGCTTTTGTACTCCAGCACATTCCGGGTTGGTATTTTCAGCAGCTTGTGTCGGTTGCCCACGTGCATAGCTGTCAATTGCTCGCGTTCCCTGTCTCCCTAGAGGCAGTACCATGTGCGGGCTTATTTTCTGTATATATTTTGACCATACTGTTATCTGTGGACTATGTCCCATGTGTTGTAACTAAAGTATACTCAATAAATGGAACGCGATGTCGCCATGGTTCCCACTTCACACTTTCCTATCATTCCTTACTTTTCTTCCCTCTTCTCATTTCCTCTAAAACTCTTCATCCTTCCTTTTCAAAGGCTATGCCGTAAGGTTCGGCCTTCTAACACTTTTAAACATATCATATCATAT